TTTTCGGGTACCCCGAAACTGTTTGAAGCGGTTTTCGGGGTAAAGTTTAGCTGGATTCTATCGTAACATGCTCGGACGGCAGAAGTAACAAGTGTTTTTGACTTTTTTAAGGAACATGGCGCCTGGGAGCAATCGTTCAGGCATACGTGCGATATAGCCGCAACGCACATTTGTACCCGGGGCTGGCGAGCGGCGGCAAGCTCGTGGTCCAACTCCATCCACACGGGGGTGGGTGTCCTTACCCTTATCCAGCAAGACCTAACAGCTATCGTAGAGCCAAAGCCTTCCACCCCGAGTGTGCAGGGCCGGTTTAAAAGCTGCCTGATCTGCTGCGGAGGACACCGCATCCACGCCTGAAACATCTTGTCCCCACCGGCACCACACACAGGGCAGCAGCCCTCAGACAGCGAACTGATCTGCAACGTCCTGGCAGCAACTGCCATACAGGCAGATGCAAGCAGTGTCACACCACCCTTAAATGGCCGGGGATTTCAATTTCGTCGAAAACCCAGCATTGGACTCCGCGGCAGGAGAGGATGGACAGAGGGGAGATGGCTCCATAGCAGACATACTTTGTGAACATACTTAAGGCAGGCGGGGCAGAGGTTAAGGCCTGACTTCTGCTCCCAGTCGACCCAGTCGACCCGGGTTCAAATCCGCCTGCCGGCTCCTCGGGTGTTTGAGGAGTGATGAAATGGGAGGTGGCCCCCCATCTTATGGGCGGTGAAGGACGTGATAATATCAACTTGCGAGCTGACCAGGTACTAAGTTGATGCGCCGTTGATCCGCTAGATTTGGTTGGATGCTGGTGGTGAGTTGCCGAACCCAACGAATACATTCTGAAGTCGGATGGGGTGACGGATTAGGGTGCCCCTCTAGCAGGGGAGAGCAGGGACTGCCCCGGGAAAGGGGGCCGCTGGCGAAGTTAACCACCCTGTAACAACATACATACTTTGTGAGCTGGACCGCTCATGATGGACAGCCACCACCACCTCCATCCCCAGCGCCATGATTACTCCTATCTCTACCGAGCACCTAGCCCAAGAGGTTCCCGTTCGGATAGCGTCTACGTGGATCAGGCCGTGATGCCGTATGTCGCCCGAACGGAGATGATTATCCAGCACACCCCACCGGACCACCAGCCGATGATCCTACACTTGCTGCCCTGCCGGGTTGGTCTGGGGATCCGCAGGGTGCACATGTCCTTAGCGACGCATGAAGACCTGGAGACCACGTCTGCAGAAGGCAACCCTGCTGACCTGATCGATTGATGGCTCGCGTTCAAATGCCGCCTTGCAGCCCCCACAGATCAGCTCAACAGAGCCGCACAACATTGCAGGCTGCGACCGGGAGCCCGGGCACAAGCAGCCCTACCAGCACTTCAGCAGGCATGACAAGGAGTCAATGCAGAACCCAGAGCACAGCAGCCGCTGCAGCAGCTGCTGGAAGCACAGGCGGCACTAGCGCGGGCCCACCGAGAGGACTGCTGTAAGGATGCAATGGTGGCCCGAATCCACTGACTACATGGGGGTGAGAGGCCGAGCCCAGCCATGACTGCGTTCATCCACGCCCAAACCGCCCAAACCAGCAGCCGGCGCCCGGCGCCCTGCAAGCCCGATCTGGCCGCCATGTGACCAATCCTATACAGCTGCCCCAGGTGGTTGCGGATTTCTGGGGTGAAGTGAGCGGAGCTCCCAACTACATTTGCCCCCAAGCCCAGCAGGAGGTGCTAAGCTCCCTGGCGGCCGCCAACATCTCGATACCCGCAGAGGCGCATGAGCAGCTGGGATCCAGAACCATCACGGCCACCGAGTTACGAAAGGCAGTTAAGAAAAGCCAGCCTGGCAAGGCCCCGGGGTCGGACGGCATCCCAGCCGACATCTACAGGAAATTCTGGTCGGCCATTGGCACCACCATGGCGGGCCTGCTCACCGCCATAGGCTCGACGGGACAGGTGCCGAAGGGCTTCTTGGAGGGGGGGGGTACTGACGGTGCTCTACCAAAAAGGCGACCCCAAGCTCCCCGGCAACTACCGCCCGATCAGGCTGCTATGCTCGGACTACTGGCTGCTCACCAAAGTGCTGTGCTGGAAAACCGATTAGGCCCGGCCCTGGGGCAAGTCATCATCTCCGAGCGATCCGCCTTCCTGCCCAAGCGCTTCATCGGGGCTATTCCTGTGCCATCTGTCTCATCTTCTTCAGAAGCAAATACAGACAGACACGTCATACATGGAGGATTTAAGGTTCCTTAAACACCGTATGATGTGTGGGACAGGGGGGTCATATCTTCACCCTGCGGCCGCTACCCGGCAAATCCTGCATTCCCCGGTAATTTGGGGCACCCTTATCCAGTCACCCTAATCGACCTCACAGTAGATCGCTCAGGTTCCGCACCCACCACCGGCATCCAAGGGAATCTGCCGGGTCAACGGCGGCTTAATTCCATCCCTGGGCAGCTCGCAGATCATCTTTGTCCTAGGTCACTACCTTCAATCACCTAGTGTCGCTTATGACTACCACCATCAGAAGTATTTTAACGACCCCGACAGGTCTCGATCCCGAAACCTCTGGAGGCATCGGTGTGTGCATTACCAGTAGTGTGTATACGTATCTGCTCTGATTTAATTACGCTCCTTGTCATACGTACAGGGTCCTTTCTTGCAGGGAGGTAAAACTTGAACCCCTTGGTGAGCGACCAGGGGGCCCAACTGGGTTCGGGTTCAGGTTGGGGTTCGGGTTGTGCTCTTGTGACCGACCGGCCCTGCCCCTAGCTGTGCGTGGTTTTGTTTTTCGAAAAGGTCTGAGAGACCAGCAGCCGCGCTGCGCTCAGGCACTTCAAAAGCCCAGGCGAGCGGGGCGGACGGCAACGTCCCCATTCGGGGGCCACAATAACGACAGTTGACTGTCCGTGGGGGCGCCCCCCGCGGGGCTTTTACAGACGGCCCCTCCTCCACTTGTGCGGAACTCGTAACTAAGATAACACACGGGTCATATGCATTATGGTGGTAGATCGGCCGCAAGGTCGATGTACCACCATGCACTCGCGGCGCCATTCAATCCTCATTCCGTCAGGTGGAGGAGGTGGAGGAGGTGGAGGTGGAGGAGGTGGAGGAGGTGGAGGAGGTGGAGGAGGTGGAGGAGGTGGAGGTGGAGGAGGTGGAGGTGGAGGAGGTGGAGGTGGTGGAGGTGGAGGAGGTGGAGGAGCATCCTTTCACGTGAAGGACGCGACCTGGCGGAGCTCCGGAACCCATCGTTGTTAATTGCGAACAAATTGATTCGTGTGTTTGTGGGCAGCCTCATCGTGGGAACCGGGGTTGCGGTCAACTATCGGCCTGTACGGCTGTACGGGCCTTAGGCCATATATATATACAAACATACGGAGAGGCAGGTGGCTGGCAGAAGTTAATGCCTGACTTCTGCTCCCGGAGGTTCAAACTCGCCTGCCTGCCCCTCGGTGTGTGAGGGGTGTTGAGTTGGGAGGTGCCCCCCCATCTTGTGGACGGTGTAGGACGTGATTATATCAACTTGCGAGCTGATCAGGAACTAAGTTGTGGCGCCGTTGATCCGCTAGATTTAGTTGGATGCTGGTGGTGAGTTGCTAGACCCAACGAATACATTCTGAAGTCGGATGGGGTGAATGGATTTGGGTGGCCCTCTCGCAGGGGAGAGCAGGGAACTGCCTCTGGAAAGGGGGCCGCTGGTGAAGCTATATCACCCTGTAACATCACACGGAGAGTTTCCCTTGGAAATGCTTGGGGGAGGAGAATGAGGGAGGAACGCCTTTGACTTGTGAGTATGCACTGCTGAACCTTCCAGGACCCCAGTATGGAGGTGAAGTCTTCAGTCATCATCACTGTTTTTGGGCGAGGCCCCGGGCGTGAAGCGCCATTCGGGGGCCCGAGCCCCCTAGGTTCACTGCTGTCCGTCCGTCCGTCAGTCAGCCAGTCCGTCCGTCAGTCATGGTGTAACATTTCATCTTATTTCGCCCCGATTAAAATTGCGTCTGAAAGCTATATTAATTCTCTATTGATAGACCAATGGAATGGATTCAGATGAATTTGTGGGCGAAGTTAGCTTCCTAACATATTAACTTTCATATATCGCCCCGCTTTCAATTGCGTCGGAAAGCTAGTCTAAATCTCTATTGATAGACCAAGGGAATGAATTCAGATATATCTGTGGGCGAAGATGGCTTTCCAGGGTGAGATTAATTTCCATATCTCACTCCGCTGAAGATTGCATGTAAAAGCTACATCAATTCTGTATCGGTTGGCCAAAGGAGAACATTCAAAGACATCGGAGCGCGAAGATAGCTTTCAATGGCTTCGAGTTTGATTTCCCCTCACGCCGCAGCCCTTGCCTCTGACGTCGTTGCATGTCCCTTTCATTATAGATTCATAAGCAAACGGCAGGATCCTTTACGGGTTGGTTCGTTCATGCTCGGTAACTTTAGACCGACCCATGGCAAAACTCCCTCCTGGCGTCTCGCTCGTGCCTGTTTGATTGTTGTCCTTCTTAATCTCTTCTTCATTCATTCAATCAAAGTTCAACGAAGTGTGCCTTTGCGACACACCATCAGCTTTGCCGCTGCACTCCGACTAATGTGTAATTGGAACGATCCCCAAATGCGTCCTGGCTGGGAGCGGACAACAATTGGTCCATGAAGCACGGGCACTTTCACGCGCCTTGAACTGCCAGCCAGCAGAAGGGCCGGCGTCGAACATGGATGCAACGGTAGTACCTACGTATCGGGCAGTCCCGACTCATGGATTTGGCGCAGCCGCAATGACACTCCTGCTTTGTGTAAATCATTCCACGGATTGTCGCATCACGAGAAGGCAAACTGTTCAGTCAATAAAATGATTATGCTATGGCGGCTGCGCGCTTGCGACGATCCAGACAGGTCTACACCGCCGTCGCAACTCTGCCGACCTTTATTGTTTGAGGATTTCAATAACAAGTGTGTACTCCAAACGTGGCGGCGTTCTTGTGCTTGCACTCCTATGCCGTACGGACTGCCCTGCGAATCAAACGGGGGTCAAGTGGCTGCACAGGGGCCGAGCCCCTTTTTGGCTTTGAAAAGCCTGCCCCCTAGTTCTGTTGGCTTTGTTGCTGGTTCTGGTTTCTGCGATTGATGTTGATGTTGATGTTGGTGTTGGAGATGTGACCTGCTTGCGAACCAGTATGTGGGTAGGGGGGCCTCACCTCCACACGCCCCATCACGCTATTGTCCAACCCCCCAGTGCCGTGGATTGCATTCACGCCTAGCCCAATCGCGCCGTCCTGGGTTCGTGAATGATGCCGTACCACCTCCCCAACCTTGCAGGATCCTTCACAAATATCGCCCGTGCTTTCTGTATCCCTTCCCCTCGACCTTAAAACCACCAAAACCAAAATCAACACACGTTGCTGTGTCGTACACGTGCCCTTTCTTCCTCCTTGAGGTTCTCTCGCCTCAAGCCCTCCCGCCTTCCTGGGTTGCGGCTTTCAGGCACGGGCCTCCTTTTCATCCATAATCGATCACTTGCGGGTCCATTTCATCATTCCCGTCCTTAATTGACGATATTCCTTAATTAACGCCCGAACCCTTTTTCCTCCTTTTCCCTACCCATTTTGTAATACCCTGCTTAAGCTGCCTGTGAAGCTGCTTTTCCGGGATGTGATTGCGGGCGGGGTGGGGACTCCAGAATGTAGTACGGCATCTGGGATCCGGCTGCAACACGTGACGAGGTCAACGGTGCAAGCACTTACGGACATCCCCCGCCCACTGCAACGGTTGCGTCGAGCGGGGTCCGCTGGCCAAGGGGTGAGGGGGCCCCATCGCCGGAGAGGAGGACGTGCTGGGAGAGCTCTTGTCAAGACGTAGTGCTGGGGCGTTTTGCGACTAAGAGCATTAAGGCTGCTCTTGCCCAATACCAAGACACCCGCGAACAAGGGGCTGTAAGGCTATAGCTGCTCTTCGGGCCCAAGATATGATAAGTCCGCGAGCCACAGCGCCTTCCCAAGAAGACATTTCCCCCGCGGGATGAACAACGTAGCGGAGTGCATATATTTGTGATATTTCTGCGACCTCGCAAATCTATCCGTGCTTCGACGCTTGTGATGTTTGCTTTAAACGACAGAAAACAGACACGGACATGGACACACCTCCACCCACGCAAAACACACAGACTCACACAGACTCACACAGACTCATACAGACAGACTCGCATAGACTCATACAGACATGCAAACCTGCAAACGTACATTCACATTCACAAACCGACATTCGCACAGACATACAGCACTGCGCACAGATATGTATACACAAGGCTACATACAGGGCACATCACCCGGTTACTCACGTTAATGGGACTCTTTATTTGGGCAAAAGGGTCGGACGCCGGTAAGGCCTCGTTGCGATACGCCTTCATGCCGCGCGGGATATCGTACCCACGGCATCCCGAGGGTCCAGAGTCCGCCAGTACCGCATCAAGCAGCGCCCCGAAGCTGTTGAACGTCACGTTGTCGGGCCGCTGGGTCGCGCCATCGATTAGCACCAATGTCGCACCCTGTCGTACATACTGCGACAGCTGGATCGGCTTCCACAGGTTGATTTGAGCGCGCTCCGCGTCGAGGTACGATACTTTGCCGTTAGCGATGATTACGTAAGCGCTGTACGCAGCCAAGTAGTACAGAATGGGCTGCCGCTGGGTGATGGTCACCTTGGACGGTTGAGATCGCACCCTAATGATGTCCGTTATGCTGTTGACTCGGTCTATGCTCTCCGCCACGTCAATGTTGCCGTAAATGCAAACTGTTGGATCTGTTAGGTGTTCGTGACGGTTGGCCGTTGGGGGTTGGGTTTCAAGGCCGCCAAGGTGGTACATGGGCGAGCAGACGGGCGGGCGGGCGGGCCAAATTATTTACTGACTAGGAATGTCGTTGAGCCTTGTGTTGGTGGAATGAACTGGAAGAGATCATCAGGGTAGGACCTTTTAATGCTGGACAGGACAGGCTACTGGTGAATCGGGAAGGGAGGGAGGGGAGGGCCCTGGACGACTGTGACGGAAGGTTGAACCCAACCCATATTGCACAGCTCCATTCAGCCCCACCCTCTTCTTCAATGCAAAGTAATGGGGACAAGACTTCAGCCCATGGAGGTGGGATGCATTCTAAGTTGCAGTTGCTTTCACAGGGAGGATCGCGTGGCAGGGGACTAGAACTAGAATCAGGCAGTTTGCGAGCTTCAGATTTTCCAAGTGCGGGGAGGTCCCCGGGGCAAGAAGGGATTTGAAATAAGGCTTGTTCGTATTTAAGGAAATTCGTTTATCCAGGAATTTCGATGATGTTCCCTTTTCACAATCGCGCTTCGTTGTCGCCTCCAACTGAACATGTCCATCCTTCCTATGCCTTGGCAACAGGCGACAACAGACTGGCAGCGCAGCTTCCTGTACCAAATCCGATTGATCTCCTTACTTCACTGAGTATTGCATAAGTCGATTGAGGTGCTCTCTCATTTCGGCCCCTCGGGACGTTATTGCTGCGGTCGCTTGCTTACGGTTACGCGTCACAGCGGAGATGTAGCTAACGACGTAAGTGGTTCAAATCATTTACTTGCATACTCACCTGCTAATGTTACGCTTGAATTAACGGCTAGCCATGCGGCGATAAGTAAAGTTATGCTCCACGATAGGCTCCATCGGCATGGTCGGCCAGGGCGCTTGCATGGCGTGCAAGCGCAACCTTCAGTCACCATCACGAATCGCGTTTTTTCAATACATTAACTGTTCTGAATCTAGAATTCTGTCGAAGTAAGTATGGATGCAGAATGGCTTTTGAGTGCCAAGGGCCTAGAAGCCCCAGAACCTTGAAGGCACCGAGATAGTTGACGGTGACAGAAGACTAATTGGCTTCTATGATCTCTCAATACAATCTGATGTTGCAGGAGCGATGAATTGATGGATTCATCGCCCGCCACCAAAAGTCGGTTACCTCGTATTGCAACCTACTCGTAGTACATGCGAGCACAGGAGCCGACTAACATGCAATCCCTGACAATTCATTCCTGTATGTGCAAAGATGGACATTAAGTCTTTTCTACTGCCCATCAATGCGCGCTTAACGACGTGGCAAAGAGACGCGCGGATGAGCGTTCGGATTGAGTTGCATATTTTGAATAACAAAACACAAATAAGTATGGAGGATCATTCGTTAAACCTACACTCATCAACACCGAGTCTTATACTTGATGCTGGGAAATCCTGAGTTAAGCTTTGGATGGAGTTAGGTATACGTGTATAAAGATTTGTGCTTTACAAATCACTGCCTTCTTTCAAAAAGTTTATGTTGTGACATTATCTCAAAACTTAGCTGGCTACAACCGTGCAAGCGCTAACCTGGTGTTTGCAGTAACCACCCTAGTCAAAGGTTGACCATCGCTGGCGAACATGTAACACTTGCATACGTTACGCCTACATTTTAAAATTATCTAAATGCAGTCATTATTCATTTTAATGGTGCAAAGATGCGATGCGGCTATCGTTGTGGCTTTGGATGGACGATGCGCTAACCGTCGCTTCATTTAATATTCCCGATTCCTGGCACTGCATCCCCAAACATCATCATAATCATTCCATCAATGTACCTGCTAAGTTGCAATTACACGCGCAACTAAGTTTTTGCGTCGATGGCTTGGCCGGAAGGGAAAAACATCCAAATGCCGGTGCTAAGCAATTCGCGTTATAACTCTTTTTTCTAGTTACACATTTCATTTAACTATCTGCGTAGCTTCAAGCCCTAGCCTGCATAAACCTTCGGTCTCTGGATCCGTTGGTCGACGTTGCACAAGACCGTCCTTTCCCAATCCTTGCAGCGAACTCTATTAAGCATAGGAAATATGATCCTATACTTAACAGTTTGTTTAGAGGCTTCATTTCGTGAGCATGTGTGTATCGACACAAAGGCTGCCGTGGGATTAGCTCAAGGCCGCTGTCCAGTTTAGTACCGTTCCCCTGGCATTCGCTCCTATCCAAAGATCGCAATATGACATATATCGGTCTCGCTGAACAGCTTTCCTTCCAGCGACTAGCCATACCGCCTCGCCTCGCATGCGCATCGCGTAGCACATGCCTAAGTCCTGGTGCCAGTGTGCAGACCCCCGTGCTTCTGGAATATCATCAGATCATTCCTCACAGTCCTGCCCCCGTTCCACGCGGGAAGGCGCAGCCTTTGCAACGCACGCAGCACAAGACCGTACCGGCCCTTGCAGCGCGCTCCGAATTAAACGAAGGTTGGGATTGCCCTGAGCTGATGCAGCTGATTTGGCCAGTTTCGTCTTATTCTTTCTCATCCTTTCGCAGCTCCATTTTTTAAATTAAAAGCCTTCACGCGCACGTTCTTACAGACCTCTTCACTATGGTCTCTCTTCTCGCCGAGGGTAACCTCATTCGAACATCGAAACATCGGCATACCGGCCGCGTCCGGGCTCGCTGCCACACACTCTTCACAATTAAAATCCACCTCTCGCACCGCGAATCACTCCTAACATCCCTGCGATGTAGACACCCACGCCCACCCACACCCCCACACACCAAAGATATATAGCCGCCGCCGCAACAACACGCGTCTGTTGCGGATTCACAAAAGCGTCAGCAAAAGGAACGGCCCTCAACAGGTTCATTGAAACCCCCAACCATCCAATACAACGCAACTATAAAATCAGTACTTCAATATATAGGGACGGATATAAGCGATATTCCCTCCTTATCACCACACACGGCTGTAATGTCGTGTAAGTTCGTGCAACCAATCCGTCGCCCCCTCCGGAGCTATCCCAGCCCTCCTTTCCTCCCATAGTAATTACTCCCACAACCACGCACCACCAAACCCACAAACGTACATACATACATACATATGAGTATAAGTGCATACCGGACACACGTACAAGCATATGCACCAGATACCCCATGGGATCTTCCCAACACCCTCCCCCTTTGTGGGTGGTGGGGGACCTCTAGAGGCTCCAACCGGGCCGCTACGAGCCCTGGACACGACGGCGTGCGCTCCTCAGCGTACGACATTACAACACATCCTCCTCATTTACAGTCACAAATGTACGGCAGGTGCTGTATCAAAGATGAAGTGCCATTGGTGTGGTGGTGGTGGTGCATTGCCAGTTGAAAACGTCTATGTCACAACCAGCCACATCACACCGGGCGCATTGGGCCCCACCCCACCCACCCAACCACCCCCCCCACGGGATTGCCGCGGGGGATGAAACGGCGACAGGCGTCGCGGTTGGTTGTTATTGTTGTCGTCGTCTTCATGGCGGCACGCAAGTTCTTTATTGGTTGTCGTACATGGCGGCAGGAAGCCGACGGTAATGCAAGAGGCTGTATCGCTCTGCACCACCGCAATCCCCCCCATGTGTCCCATGGGCTCCCCATGAGTGTCACGTGCATATGTGTGTGGGGGTGTGTGGTTGTGTGTGTGGTTGTGTGTGGGTGTGTGTCTGTGTGTGGGTGCGGGTGTGTGGGGTGGAGCTCATCAAGGCAGACAGAGGCAAGTGACGACCGCAAACACCCGCTTGTTGACACAGCAGATCAACAAAGCAACGGCACCAACGGCAGCATCAGAAAGCAGCTGCAGCTGCAGCAGCAGCTCCCCACACCCACACCACACCCCAGCTCGCCGGGATGCACACACCACCCCCGCAAACCTCCTTCAGCCCCACCCACCGCTGAAACCTCACACACACACGCAGGTGCGCCCGTGCCTCACACCACATCACATCACATCACGTGCCACCGACCTACACCAACTCGATATCGCTCTTGTGTTGACGTCGCTCGCGCTGCTCCGCCACGACCTCGGCCGCGGCCACGGCTGATGAATCATGTGTCAACAATTTCCGCACAATGAATCAAAGCGCACGAGATCGCAGTGTACATCGAAATGCACAACGGTTCATCAACGAGACCTACACCTTACGACAATGTTATATGTGCTTATTATGCCGTACAACAGTAGCGCTGAAGCGCCTCAGAGCTCAGACCGGCTGCCAGTCCTCATCCACGGCAAGCACTTCATCCAATTGCGAGACTGGAGAACTCATGGACAATAGCAATACCGTTTTTTTCGACACAGCAGTAGCCGGGCGGCCGCCGCCGGGCCCCCGGACGGGAGTCCCCACGCCGCCGCTGCCGCTGCTGCTTATCCGGCCGCTGCCGCTGCTAGTAAGGCCACCGACGCCGATGCCGGCAGGCGGTCCCGATGACAGCATCTTTGTCGGCGACGCGCTGCGTGGCGGCGGCGGCGGCGGGGTCGCCCCGCTGCCGCCGCCACCGGATGCCGCTGCCGCCGCCGCCGCGGCGGCGGCGCTGGCAAGTGCTTCGGCTTCCTGCAGCACCTGCAACCCGCCGCCACCGGCAGCACCAGCGGCGGCGGTAAGGGCATGGTTCAGACCAGAAGCCGCCCTTCGCATAAACGCTGGACTGGTACCACCCGCACCTCCGCCGCCGCCGGGCCCGTTGCCGCCACCGGCCGCGCTCATCCCGACACCGCCGCTGCCGGCACCACGGAGCGCCCAGGCGGACTGCGGCCGCAGCGCACCGCCGCCGCCGGCGCCGGCAAAGCCAGATGTCCATCCACTGGCGGCATGCTGCTGCACTGCCGTATTGGGATGCGAGTACGGCTGCGCATGGCCTGCTGCCTGTTGCCTGCCGCCGTAACCCGGCAGGTTTGACGTCCCTAGCTCCAGAACCCGCCCGACCACCGATGCCGAGCTGGGCCGCATAAGCATCTGCTGCTGCTGCTGTTGTTGCTGCTGGGAAGGGGACGATGAGGAGGAGAAAGATGCAGGCGAGGAGGAGGAGGAGGAGTTCTGTGCACCGCTGGACGTTGATGAGACGGTCCTTCCGCCGCTGCCGGCGGCAGGGCGCGCACTGCCGCGGCCCGCCCGGGCGGCGCCGCTGGCGGCTGAAGCGGCCGCAGCGGCGGCGCCGCCGCCACCTCCCGTCGCTGATTCCGCCAGGACCTTGTTGATCATGTCCTGCACCATGGACCCCAGCGCCGGTGCGCCGCCGGATATGAGCTGGTTTATTCGCTGCTGCGCCGTCACTGCCTCCGGCGCCCGACTCAGGCTGCCCACTGGCGGCTGCAGACCGCTACCGCCAGTGCTACTGCTCCCGCCCACGCCGCCACCACTGCCACTGCTCGCAGTCTGCATGATGGATCCTGCGCGCTGGATCAGCGCTGATGCGTCGCCGCCGCCACTGCTTGCACCTTCGACAGCGTCGCCGCCGCCACCGCCGCCGCCGCCGCCGGGCGACGGCGGCGGCGATACGCCCAGTGACAGCAGCCTCTCCTCCGCAGCCCGGACTCGCGCCAGCAGCAGAGCTATGCGTTCGTCCTGGGCGGTGATGGTTCGTTCTGCCCTCGTGAGCTTCTGAGTTGCTAGCAGTAGCGCCGCCTTCACACAGGGGGGGGGGTGGGGGTGGTAGGGGGAACCGGCGTGTGCCAACACAGACAGGACATCGGATTGTGGCCCGGATTGCGGGGTTGCGGACACATGTGAGGTGGTGGGTGCATGTCTGGGCGGTGGTTGGGGACTGCGTCGGGTCGTGTTGGAGAGGAAGGAAAGGTGCTGCGCAACGCAAACGGCTGCTGCGGCGGAAGAAGGGCGACGAGAGGTAGCTGGCGGGGGGCCCTCAAGCCCCCGGGCCCCATACGTACGGAAGACCCCCCCCCTGCCGAACCTCCCCTCCCCCGCCCCCAAGGGTGAACCCCCGCCCACCTGCAGCTCCTCCAGCCGACTGCACTCGGAGCGGCGCTGGGCCTTCATCGTGGCGGCGTCACTGGCGGCCGTGTCCCGCTGCTCGGACAGCGCCACCACCTCGTCCAGCAGCCGCTGACGGTGGGAGCGCTCGGCGGAGAGCTGCACACAGGAACATGAGTGTATGTGTGAGGGGGAGAGAGAGGGGGAGAGACGAAGTGTGTGTAAACCTTAGGAAGGAAAGCACCGCGTGGGTGTGTGAGTACACGCGTGTGCGATTTTTGATTGATCTGACGAGCTGCGATGCTGCCGAGAACAAACCAAAGTGAGTGCACAAACAACTGTGTGATACCGATGTGAGCTCCGCGATGCAGCGATGTGAGTGTGAGTGTGTGTGAGTTAGTGTAGATGAGTAGATGAGTGTAGGTGGGTGGGTGGGCAGGTAAGTGTGCAAAAGAGAGAGAAAGGGGGGAAGACGAGGTTATGAGAGGAAATGGGAGGGGAATGGGGCTCCGAGGGCCCGGATAAACACAATCTGTACGACGACGACTCCGTGTGTCTCAAGCAGACCCCCCGGAAAACCTCACGATGACGACGCGCGAAACCGGACTGCACCTAGATGGCGGATGGCAGCCTGGAGAACAAATTATTACTCAAGAGCCTTACTAGGAAACGCTTTTTACTAGCGCCCCAAAAGTTGTTACCTACGGGATATTTCCATTTGAAGGACCTGGCGCACCCTTCCACACCCACCCAGCCACCCCCGCCTACCTGCTGGTTGGCCGCCTCCAGCTGGGCCCGCAGCTCCCGCACCTCCCCCGCCGCCGCCCCCCCCTCCCGCTGCAGCCGCTCCGCCATCTTGTGGAGCTCGGCATTGTGGCCCTTGACAGACTCGCCGTGACGAGCCAGCTCGTCCAACTGTACGGACGGGACGATATGCGAGGTGGACACAAGATATGGACACATACGTACCGACAGGTATTTTGTCACCCAACCTACCACCACAGCTCTAACAAATCTCCCCCAAGCCGCCCTCTCCTCCACACGGAGGGGGAGGTTAACCACTTCTCTCCACAAGCCGCGCTTGCCAACATTGAGCTCTGACCTCATAATAGCCGATACCAAAACCCCCACCCCAGCCCACCAGCACTCCTCCTCGTGGAACCTAGGGTTTCACTGTCAACCGTTCGCTCCACTAACTCCCCTTCATTATCTCGGGTCTCCGTTCACCCTCAGTACATACACACATAAATACATACACACATACATGCATACATACACACATGCATACACACAAACATACACACACACCGCAACATCACAGGCGCCAAGGGGCCCCGGCCGCCGCAGCGGCACGTCACCGTCCTGCACCGTACTGGCACCGTACCATAACACCAACCAACATAGACGCAACAACAGGGTAAAGGAAAACTTGAGAGCATCCTCCCGTCGCGAAAGGTCACGTCGCCCCACACAGGCGACCTTCCCTCTTACCCCTCACATATCATCACATGCCATCACATCGCGCGCCACATCACGTCACGTCCCCCGCACCTGCTGTTTGACTTTGGCCACCTCCGCCTGTGCCGCCTCCAGAGCAACCTGGCCATGAGGGAGGGGGGCGGGGGAGGGGTGGTGGGAGGGGAAGGCAGAGCCGGGGTTTTGGTGGAGGGGGTTAAGGGAAAGCGGCGGCGGGTGGGATAATCGGTTTGTGTGGACCCCCAGGGGGCGGAGCAAGCTGCACAGCGATGTATACATGATGATATTCTTCCCCAGCGCATCACCGCCGCAATCGCCATCTCCCCCACATCGCGGCTCCGAAGTTCATCATGCAACACACGTGCACTCACTCACTCACACACACGCACACGGCAGACAGACAGACAGACAGACAGACGGACCTGCGTCTCCGCTAGCCGTGCTCCCCGCTGCGCCGCCTCCGCCCCCGCCGCCGCCGCCTCCCCCTCCGCCTGCGTCAGCGCCACCTGCAGCCGGGCGCAGCGGTCCTCCCTGGAGGCCAGCTTGTCCGCCAGCTCCTGAAGCTTCTCCTGCTGCTCCTTCACCTAAAGGGGGAGAGGCAGGACGCATTGTGTGTGGGGGGGGTAGGCCCACCATCACATGATGGTGCAAAGTCACGAGAAGGAAACAACCGCCCATTGACGTCCTGAAAGGTGGGGGGAAGGGATAAAGACAACCCACTGGCGAATGGAGCAGATACCAGGAGGGGAAAGGCGAAGCACGAACGAGTGAAGCTGCTGCCAAGGAAAGAGTGTACAAGAAGCAGAACTGACCAGTAGGCGATGGGGGGAGGAGACGGGACTACGGAGAATCATATGAGTTCCAAAAGAGCAGGACACCAACACACACAATGCCGACCAAGGTGAGAGGCACGCAAGCAGGCTGCGTCAAGCAGTGTGGGCCAGTAGACAGGACCGAGGTGGTGTTGGGGCGGGGTGGCCGTTGTGGCGGTTGTGGCGGTTGTGGCGGTTGTAGTATCGGTTGTCGTTTTTGTTAAGGTGTACAAGATGCGTATGTTTGTTTGCATGGGGAAAGCAACCCCCTATAAAACCAGCCAACAAACCACCAGATAGACAGACTGACAGACAGACAGACAGATAAGACAGATTCACTCACCAGGTTGGTCAGCCGCACCGTGGCGGCAGGATCGCCCGTGCCCGGGCGCACTCCCCCGCCGCCACCGCCAGGCCCCACGCCCCCCGCCGCCACCGTCCCCCCGCCGCCACCGCCGCCGAAATCCAGCCTCAGCGTCTTGGCCTGCACCAGCGTGCCCAGGGCCTTGACCGCGTGGGCGTCATCCATCAGCTGGTTTCGGAGCTTCTGTGTGGCTGCCAGCTCCTCAGCGAGCCGCCGCCGCTCAGCATCCAGTTCGTGGTGGGCGCTGCTGAGGCGTGCACAGGCCTACGTACGTGTGCATGTATGTATGTATGTATGTATGTATGTATGTATGTATGTATGTATGTATGTGCGGGCGCGGGGGGGGAGAGGGAACTGTGGCAGACTTCTAATACAAGAAGTATGAGGGTTGGCTGTCGGGGTCTCTAAGGCCACCGAATAGGCCTAGGGTCTCTGGTGAACGGCGAAGCGGCTGCAAAGAGAGAGAGGTAAACAGCCGGACGGGCCACGTCATTTCGTGTGGCAAGCAGGCAGGCAGGCGGGGAGGTGGAAAGAAGCGGGGGGGGGGAAGAGGGGGGGAGGGAGTGTGCGTACAGGTGTACAGAGGTCAAAACACACACGCACACGCACATACACACACACATACACACACATACCCAGATTTGCCCCATCTCGTCACCCCACCCATCCACTGTCCGCACTTCCCCCAATCCCCCCCCTATCCGTTTGATTCAAGTCTTTGCGATGCTTCCTTCCTCCCCCTCCTCCACCTCCTCTGTCACCTCAAACTTTTCGTCCCGCATGGCGTTCGCGTCCCGCTCCCTCCTGGCGGCCAGCTCCCTCGCCGCCTCCAGCTCCCCCCTAGCTGCGCTTAGCTCCTCAGCCAGCCGCCGCTGCTCCTGATCCAATGTGGAAATCCTGGAGGAGGGGGAAGGGGGGGCAACGGAGGGGGTTTAGCTGAGTGCGCGTGTGGGGAATATACATTGTATATAAATACAATGTAGTATACTGATATCATTATTGTTATGATATTTCGCATATGTTGGTGATGCGAAGTACGCATCAACTGCAGACGCGCCAAGCATCCTTCCCATCTCTCAGCCACCCATACCTGGCTGCAAGCTCCGCCCGCTTCCGGTCGCTCTTTTCCACCGCCGCCGCCGCCTCCCGCCGCGCCGCCGCCAGCGCCGCCTCCGCCTCCGCTAGCCGCCGCCGCAGCGACTCCGCATCCCCCTCCGCGCGCCGCCGTGCAGCCACCGCTTCATCCACCTCCCGCCTCGCCGCCCCCTCCCGCGACACCGCGGCGTCAAGCTTTCCCTGCAGCTCCCGTACCACCGCCGCCTCCGCTGCCGCGGCGGCGCTGCGCTGTCGTACCTGCCCCTCCAAATCCAGCACGCGCGACCGCGTCTCCGCAAGCCGAGCAGCCGCCTCCGCCGCCTCCTTGGACGACCGAGCCAGCTGCGAGTGCAGCTCCGAAACCAGCCGCCGCTCCACGTCAAGCTTTTGCCGTACATCCTCCGCTGCTGCCGCGGTGGACTGCAGCCGTCGTACCTCCGCCTCTGCTGCCGTCAACCGGTCCTGCAGGGCCTGTTGCGCCTTGCGCGCCTCCGCCGCCTCAGAATCAAGCTGTACGACACGCGCCCGCAGCTCCGCCGCCTCCGCCACGGCGTCTACCGCCGGCTCCCCACGGCCCTGTGTCTGGCAGGCTCGGGTGCTCGTGGTGGGCTTGCGGCTGGTGGTCTGGGCCTCCTGGCGGGGGATGGGGACATGAACAACAACAACAACAACATAGCAACCTTGCTCGCGGTTAGCATACCGGTGGCCGTTTCTGATCCGCTGTAACCACCACTAAGCCGTTCACTAAAAAGTCCGAATCATTAAAAATTCGAATTAGGTAGGAAAAAAGAAAGATAGAAAAGAAAGGTAGAGGAGAAAGTAACGAACGTCCTGCCACCCGGGCGAGTGCGAGGAGGGGGAATATAATCGGAACCAGCGGACCAGCATGTGTCGACTGAGGCGGCGGGAAGCGAGGGAGACGCCGGCGCGCGGCTTAGTAACCAAAGTCCCTAAGTCCGAAGTCCCCTGTTCCCTCCCTTGCCCACGCCGCCACGCTCGCTTCAATAACCCCCTCCTACCTTAACATAGATACCCCACCCCACCATGCCACGCCACCACCTTCCCTTCCCAACATCCCTAGCTTTCAGTGAGTCTTTTTCCCCCCCAACAAACACCCTGACTACCCTTTCCAGTGGGTAGTCAGTGGCCCCAGCCCCACCTACACTTCTCCCCCCTTCCCCCCTTAAATCCCCCCCATTACACCCCCCCCCAAAACACCCCCCCACATCCCCGTCCCACCCCAGCACCCTACCTGCAGCTGCCACCGCAGTTCCCCCGCCGCCGTCTCGGAAGCTTCCAGGCGCTTCTGGGTCGCGTCCAGGCGGCTCCGCAGCACCCCCAGGTCCGAGGTGAGGGCGCTGATCTGCCGCAGGAGGGCGGGGTCGTGCGGGGGCGCGGAGGAGGGCGTGCTGGGCCCTGTGGGGGAGACAGCGAGGGGGGGGGAGACGAACCTCGAATGAGTGAAGCTGCTTGCTGCCAAGGAGAAAGCGGGGGGGGGCCCAGAGCGCGGGCAAGGGGACCAACGAAGGGGAGGGGGGCCCGGGGTTACACGACGGGGCAGTGCTTGGTGCAAAAGCCGCCACATGGGAACAAACACCGACGTGCCACTGCACATACGGGGATAAGGGACACAACTGCCGACACCGTAAGGCGAGGGGGGGTAGGGGGAATGAAGGCGCGGTGTATCTGTGTGTGTTTTTGTGTGGGAGGGAGGCTCCCTGGGAAACAGGGTCATGAGCGCTAAGGGGCGAACAGGTATTGCAGCATATGATGTGCTGTCAGGGCACATGGGGAGGCAGTTCTCAGCCGCCGCGTACTGCTTGGCTCTCCGTCTCAAACACAAAACACAACAAGAGCTGGAGAGAACGGGACAACCCAACCATTTCCCCATTACTTGGATCTCTACTAACCAACTGAAACAACCGCCCACAAAACCACCGGTCAGGTCGGGTATCACCCGCGCCACTGATGCCACTGAACGTCGGTTGTATAGGGTTTTAGGGTTTCTAGGTTATAGGGTTTTAGGGTTTATAGGTTGCGCGACAATAAGGTGCCGCGGCAAAGGACACAAGGTGCGCTCCACGGACGGCCCCCCCCCTCGGATCGTGACAGGGCGACACACGCACCATGCAGCAGCCACCCCTTCCTCACCCGCGCCCACACCAGAGCACGACGCCCTTACCCCATACCATCCCGACTTACGCGATGGCTGCAGGGAGGGGCTCCCAGGACGCGGTGTGCCTCGGGAGCTAGGTCTGGCGATGTTGGCCTGGAGCTCCGAAACCATGTTGCGGAGCAGCGTGTTGTCCGCCTGGTGAGGTGAGAGGGGAGTGCGGGAGGTGTACAAGTAGCGTGCGGAGGAGGTTGTAGGAGGGTCAAGAAGGGTGAGGCGGCGGCCACACGTAAACCTTTATCCCTTCTCCTCCTCCCCCTCCTTCCCCCTCCTCCCCCTCCTTCCCCTCCTTCCCCCTTCCCTTACTCCTGCGCGTCCATAGCAGCTCCACGTCTACGTCCCAGTAACATTGCGGTGGCGTCCTCCAAAGGTTGCATCATTGCGGCAGATTCAATATTACAAATGCAGTCTTTACGTCCTAAGAACACTCTAAAACAATCAAACTGTGTTACGATGGCGGGCTGGCCGAGCAAGGCTGAGCCGGTGTGGTGAAGAGGACGCACCTCCGGGAGATTGCTGTCTTGATTAGGAATCGGGCGTAGTCGTCCTGTCGTGTTGTCTTGTGTAATGATATCTATTCCTTTGGCCCCACCCCCACCCTTACCCCAAGCACTTATTTCTCGAAGACCTCAGCCGCCAGCACTCCCTCATTTACTTTACTTACCATTGCCGAGTCCAGCTTGGCCTGTGTGTCCGCCAGCTGCTGCTCCGCGGCCCGGCTCCTGGCGGTCCTCCCCGCCAGCACGGCCTGCAGCTCACTTAGCCGCCGGCTGGCCGCCACCAGCACACCTGCCGGGGAAAGGTCCTGGACCGCCAACGCCGATGCCGACGCCTGCGGCAGGGCCCCCGCGGCCGCTTCCGGCGGCGGCAGCTGCGCCGCCGTCGGTAGGCCTGCGGAGTTGGCGCCGCGACCGCGAGCCACGGGGGCGCTCTGTATCCGGGAGTTGTGTGCAGCAGGAGATGCGGCTGTGGTGGTGGAGCCAACGTCAGGGCCAACAGGAGGCCGGGTGCCACGGCTCGTGGTTGCGGCGCCTGTCGCCGCCGCAGGCGGCGCCTCCGGCGCGGCCGTGGCGGCGGC